CTGCATACAAAAGAACAGCTATCCGAATCGAATAGGAGGAGTCATTCGCATACCGATGCAAGTCTTACAGATGCTGCGTCATTAGCTTTACAAGGTATGAGGAGGAAAGTGTGCTACTTTGGACTCTGAGCTAACAAACACGACTTCTTCCATTTGAGTGGTATTAGATGCTAAGTTTTCAATCTATGGCTCCTTTAATTCCTCACTTATGAAGTCCAGAGATTGGAGGTTAAACTTGTGGAGTGGGGGTGAAGCCTAAAATGTCGACATGAAATGAGTCGGTACACTCCGCACGCCCCTACAACTTGTCTGGTTTCTGGGCCACCAGACCGGACAGACTCACGACAGACACTGACATTACAGTGACCATGACCTAAAGGCTAAGGTCCTCCGGACCGCCTTGAAAATCAACGACGAGTAGTACTGCGCACGATGCGCTAATGAAATTCAGGCGCTGCTCATGTGGCATCTCTCTCTGTTGCTATCATCATGACTGTGAATAAGTCCAATTCTAACAGTTCGGCCGAGTTGCAAGCAGAAATATTGGATAATATCAATAAACCACGAAGTAACACACCTATAGAAGCATGGCCAAACGTGAGTGGAAGGCACACAAAAATTGCGGTAGGTTATGTTGAGATTTTTAGTGCACAGGCGCTCTGCGTTATGTTCTACGCACACTAGATTTCCGAGATTCACACCATCCTCGGCGACAGAATTAGCTTCATAGGAATATAATATCTATCCCTTACACAGTTGAACTTCCAATGTCTAGTCTTCGTGCTCTCACTTTAAGAAACTTCAAAAAAGCATTTATCCTTCATCGTATGGCCATGTATGCCTACGTATCAAATGACCGAATAAGATATAGAATAGTACTTTTACAATGGAACAAGTTGCAGGCATATATGTGTTGCACACCCTCAGAACTGCTGGCACATGTTGCGCATTATGCGTCCGGCTCATTTGTTTTAATTGTCCGTTGCGAGGCACGTGGCCAGAAGCAGGGACAGAATGCAACATGTTGCGGCGCGCAACATGCTCCACGGCGTGTGTGTAGTCACTCGACGCAGCTTTGTCCCCGAAGCTTGTGCCTCAACATGTTGCAGACCGTTTCCTTATCTGGCATATGTGTCGGTATATGATGCGACGATAATTTGTTGGAATGGAAAGATACCACAAGAAACATTTTTATTATCTATGAACACCTCGAATGCTACTTCTTGCGGTAAAAATTGATCCTCAACTCTAGAAAAATGAACGCTATCAGTCAATGACCGAAAGCTGTTTGCCAATGCAACGTCTGAAGTCTCGCAAGATAGCTAAATACTCAAGTTGTCTACCAATTTTTCAAACTAATTTGGACAATTACAACCGACCGAATTTTAATTTAAAGTCTTTTTCAAAATCATTGAGAAATTAAGGTTCTCTTATTCTCCAGAAGTCAAGAAGGTTAAGAATAGCTTGTTGATACCTACTATTTCTGTGATGTTAAGATCCATACAGCATTCTACATTGTCTTGACTCCCCAAGAGCGACGAAGTTATATCACCTAACTCCAAGTGAACAAAACACGACAGAGTACATTCTGCTCTAGAAGGTCTAAACAGGAGTGCAGCACGATGAAGAAACAAAACTATTTGGCATATCGGTAGCGAAGAGGAATATTATCAATCACTTATTGATGAGAGAGAAGCTTGAGACTGAGTTAAGGAAGTATCACAAATAAGTTGGATATTTTTCTGAACAGCATTCTGATGCACTGTATTTGGGGCCACACTGCAACAGGTTTTTACACTCTAAGCCAATCTGGACTTTGTTGTGACTCAAGTCTAACGATACCTTACAGCTACAACAGCTGATGAGCTCTGGTGATAACAAATCAGTCAAATGCTCACAAATCTGAATGAATGACTTGTTGGCCTCGCAAATGATAATCATCCATCAGAAGTGGCTCTTTATTATTTGATAGGGCGCAGAAATATGCAAAGTGATGTCATCTATTGGACAATGGATTAAATTTACTGCACTGTTATTAATGAAGTGCATTGATTATGATAGATATTTTACGATAAGAGGAAGTCTGCTATAGTTGTAGTCACCGTTCTTGGCGGATCAAAGTAAGACTACCAGTATCCCTTTATATATCTCCATCTCCCTCATACATACACATGCAACCTTCCCCTGTGTGTGAACGTCTGTTCGGTAAGCTCAAAGACATACGTTTTTTAGTTGTGTGTCTCCGTCTCGAAAACTTTGTCGATACGTACGTACTTGACATGGCGTGCAATTTCGGTTGTCCTGTTATCAATCTTCAATATAAAATTGCACAATGCCCGGGAATACGATCAATGGAGAAGGGCGACAGCTCATGCTAAATTTATTAGGGTATTTCTAGGAAGAGAATGAAAATAGCAGTACCCTATTACCCACTTCATGCGTACTGGAGAGAGTAGCAGATGCGCTGAAGATTGGTCTGCGCAGCGCTCCGCCCATGGTACGGAGACTCGATCTGTTTACCTATTTTATGTCGTTGATGACGTAACCGCCAAGAACGGTGACTACAACTATACATATCTGCGATAGCTCTGTGGAAGCAGCATGTCAAAGTTTATAGAAAGACCTGGTAACTGCCAGATCAACAACTGGATAAGCTTACTCCATACATGTATCGTGTAAAGAAATTAATACCGGGTGTTACTGTGCGATGGTAGGTGGAAAATCTGACGACCACGACCTATCAACGCAATGGTTTGGCAAACTCATCTTCATCCTCATCCCATACCATGGAGATTACAGGAGATTCCTACGCTCCCGGCTCATAACTGTTCGATGTTATACGCAAACGGTTGACACATCTATCACCCGGAATACTGATTATTATTATCATTTTTATTATTATTATGTGACGCTTTTTTATATATATATATATTTCAGCTACCACAAAGGCCTGAGGCCTAAACACCCATGGGTACCGTGGGGCTAGAGGGGGATACAGTGGAAAGAGGGGGGGACGCCACACCGACTATAGCGAGGGAACATGTGGTCATGTGTGCATGCAGCATGCATACATTCTGGCCCCCCAACGAGATCCGTAAGGTGGTACCTCCGCGTACGACAGTCAGACCCCGTCTACTAGTGATGTAACCAATATTCGCATTCGCAAAACTTCTGCGAATGTTTTTATTGTATCTTCGGCTTCAGTTTCAAATACAAACGGAACGCATTTGGTCGAACGAGACTGCCATAGAAAATTGGCTCCAGAACAAAAACTGAATATTCGCATTCGCATTCGCGAATGTCGGTAGCAGATATTTGCATTCGCATTCGCGTTCGTGAATATTCAAAAAATGACATTCGTTACATCACTACCGTCTTCCACCTACGCTTAAGACGAAGCCCAAACTTGAAGCTAATAAATCAAATAACAGCATCTATAACCGGCAAAAGACAAATAATACTATTTAAACTTTTTCTGAATGCACTCACCGTATAAAGTTAGTAATTGGCGGCGCATTTTCTGGCGTTTGATTGGCTGTGCGAAACCTGCCAACTCATACAACTTAATCAGAACACAATGAACGATGACACGGTACGCCTATGAACCTGCAGGTGGTCTAAACCTGTATAATTGCCCATCATTATCTGCGTCTATATAGCACCACTTTTCTACAGGATGCATGACCATCAGTGCGAAAAACATGAGAGAGGTGTAAGGGGCATAAAGACTAATCGAAATTACATAGTGTGGAAAGTCTGACATTCCTTGCACACATGGTATTACTAAAGTTCGATTAAAAAGAAAAACTGAAACAGAAATATCGCCATGAATGAATTAGAGAGAGAAAAAAAAAATCCTGCAAATCAGAGGTGCTGCTACAAGTCCCTCCTGGAGAAGTTAAGCACGGTATTGGACCCTATCTCCTGGAGATGCCCAAATCGTTCAGTTTCATCAAGTAATCGGGAAAAAAGTAGCTCAATGTGAGAGCTAGTTCAGTTCCGCAACTTCTGCCCCATTTAACCAGCAATGTACCTTGAACTCCCTGTACGTTTCTTTCTGATCCACATATGACTTTCGTTCCACTATGGCTTTTTGTCTAGTATGAGCCACCAAAGAATATTTAATTGCAAAAAGTAGAATACAATAAGTTTCATTGAACCTAATAAGCACCTACGTCACTCGGCGAGGAAATAGTATTGTATTCGCGAAAAGCTGAAAATGATTTTTGGATGTTATATGACGTGTGCATCACGAAAAACTCTATCACTTGTTTATATCGCCCTGTCTGTCTGTCTATCTGACTGTCCGGTAAAATTATGGGTGGGGGATTCTGGAAGGTCAGGGAGGGTATATCTCACTTTTTTTGACGTTAGTATATTTATACGCTCCCAATACCGGTAATTCTATGCATCTATTAGCCATATTTCGCACATCATAGTTTTCCCCGTCTTTATGCTTGGAATGATAGAAAAATGTTTTCGATACGTGTCTCCGTCAGCTGTCTGGGCCCAGCACCCGGCGTAACTGTCTACTAGCGATGTGCCGAGTACACGATTCCTGCTTTCGAACTCGCCTACTCGAATACCAATTTATTTTAATTCGAGTACGCCGGACTCGATTCCGGTACTCGAGTCAGGAAGAATCGATTCGCACTCGCTAACTCGATTCTATTTATGCTAGTCCAATTGACTCGAGTCTCGTATTCGAGTTTGGTTAACTTGCTCGTACTCGCAAACTGTTTACTTGTGCGGCCACACATAAAGCTGCTAGCGGGGAAGATAGCGAAGAACAAGACGGAGAGTACTTGGGATACTGGCTGCACATGTCGCTGGTTTGGAGGCGTATTTTAATTCGCAAATTTCATAAACAGTACAGAGCCCAGGTGACGGTGGTGTTATTACGGAAAAATGTCTCTTGCTAATAATTTATAATTATTTAATCGAAAATTCTACACTCTTCTACAGATAATGCTCAACAATTTGTTGTTGATGAGTTGATGATGTTGGAAACACAGGAATCTCAAGCTCAATTCCAGGTGCCAAATACTCCAAATAGATCTCTACTGCCACCTACTTCACGTCTCGAAACACCTACAACTTCATATTCAGATTCCCAGCAGATAACTTCAGAGGTGACTGGCGAGAATTTATGGGAGCATCTAAATAAAAGGGTATTGGAAATTTCAAGCATGGAAAAACCCACAACATCAGCAATTATCATGTTGAAACAGTACGTAGAGGCATGGAGCTAGAAAAGCCAATCCACTGAAATTTTGGGAACTTCGCAAAATCACCAACAGCGGCCTTTATAAAATAGCTTTGAAGTATTTATGTATTCCAGCCACTTCTGTGCCTTCTCTAAGGCTGGTCTTTTATGCAAGCAACGCCGCAATAGACGAGTCCAAGAAGGTTTACCAAATACTTTTTTTGAACAGTTATTTCAAATAACTTTTATTCTCTATATCTTTTGTTTTTTTTTATAAATCCATTTAGTTATGTATGGTATTGTGAGTACGGCTAGTTTGCTTAGATGGATCTGAATACCTTCCCAAATGTTATATTCTGAGCTGTTGAGCCTGTGTACCTACTTCTGTAAAATTAAAAAGGTTTGATTTTAATGCTTACTATATCTGTCTAGTGTTTAGATTTATAGGATTCCTTAAAGCTGTCTCAAATTACTAATCAATAAATAATATCTAGTCTAAGTCGTGAGTAAATTTGATAATGTTCTATGTTTTTTTGTTTATCTCCATAGAACTCCTATGCTCTTTGTTTTTATTTAATGTTTATAAATATCTTTCATTAAAAATTATTGATTTATTATTGTTGTGTCATTATGCTTAACCTAACCTACACGCTGTTTGAAGTTAACTCCTGTCATTTTTTACTTTTGTTCTAAAATCTGACTCTAGTTCTGGACCAGAATTTTCAGATTCGAATTTCTAGACTCGAGTCCAGCCGGACTCGAGTCAATATTCGAATCCCAAACATAGAATTCGGGTACTGGTCTCGAATCAGGGAATCGAGTCTGTGTGTTTTTTACGTCAACTTTTGATTACCCTCCTCCACTTTACTTTTAGAGATACAGCAAAAATTGTCAAACAAAAAAGGTTCATATTATCCTTGAATTTAAAAATCAGGTATTTTTTAGTTGCGTTAATATAACGGAATTCACAGAAACATCACTTTTTTAGATTCAAGATCGCAGTTACGCCTCCCAGCGGCCATTTCAGAGACTTGAAAATATTTTCTAGGTTTTTCTCTTGGCCGTTTTAGTAATAACTGATTTTTTCCGCAAGCCTTTACGATGGATATAATCCCAGAGACAGTACCTCGCATTCTTAGTTGGCCACCCTGTACAGAGCCGTTTCGTGCTTATTGGCAATTATCAGGAGGCATAATGCACGGAAAAAGAGGAAAATGACCTGTATTGTTGATAGAAATGCAACAGCACGAAAGCTATCTACTACCGGAATCGACCACAGCACTACTTATTGAGTTACATCCCGCAGTGATCCGATTTTTTTTCAATCATCGACACCTTCTGATGGCATAATAGTATATGTAGTATAATTGATAGTTTTAGTTACATAGTAAACCTTATTGTAGCACACATATATACATATATTTGCCTTGTATATTCGAAATAAATCAGGCTTCATATTTAGAAAATACACTGTACAGTTGTTTACCAATCAAGAAATGTTCTTCTCTTCTTTTTTGTGACCCTAAAGAGCTCCTGTTACAATAATAGTGAAACACCCTGTATCCTGCACACCATAATGTTGCCCGAATTCCTCTACGATCGATTTCAAAGAACATCTATCGAGAGTTATCTCACCATCAGCGAACGTTGGTTCATAAAGGAAACTTGCTGTATCAGTACACACAGCATGTGGTAGCACGAAGCATTAAATTTCATGTTGATAAAAAAATCAAAAGCCATCAAATGGACGGAGAACCTGAAAAATCTGCCACAATATCCGAATGATTTTCTTGTTTTCTTATTGCTATTATGAATATGAGACAGTTAGTGGAAGATTCGCTGGATTGTTGGAAGTGCAGCGAAACTTAACATAGATAAACAGAAAACTTCGTATAGTCTTGTTAACTACCTACCTTTTAAATGCTTAGGTGCTTTGTTGAAGTTGCAATTATTTATCCTTGAGTTAAACAATATTTCAATTTTATCCAACAAACCATAAGCTTTGTATAAATATAGCTATGAAAAGGGAAACATGGAAGATCCCGGATATTTAACTTCAAATATCATATCGTCGGTCTCCGCACGTACCGGCGTAACTACCATTTTACAAATTTTACAGGAGAGCTAGAAAACGAAAATCAGCAATAAATGAGATTGAAAATGATATACTGATTTTTTAGTCTGCACGTTGCTGTTTTTTTTTTTTTGTTAGACTAAAATGAAGCAATTTTAACGCAGAGGCGTAAATCTATTTAAGCCGGTCCGTGAAAATTATTTTCGGAATTTTATAACTTACGCAATTTTCTGAAAATTTTATTTCTTAGCAGCGAACTGATATACAGCTACGTCATTTCGTGAAGTGGACTACAAAAAAATATGTGAAATTATGGTGTAACTCGATTTTAGATTATTTATCATTTACGCCTGTACGTGCGGAGACCGACGATATGTATACCCTGTCTAGCTTTAGGTGACACAGGCAGGCATGTATGTCCATACTAAGAATAAACACCGCCGAGTACCACTTATACCAATTTGCAAGCCTGAGTCAAGAATCCGCTGGAAAATCTTTGATATTACATTCAATTGATAGAATTAGCAAAATTCGTAGCTGAAATTAGGAAGAAAGCTGAAATATAACAGTTGGAATTTATAGAAGTAAGCTGGTTCGAATGATACAATAAGTATTGGTCCTTCTGATCAGCCCTTACCCTGTCAATGGATAAGTATAGCACCACTTTTTGAAGACAGTGGAAGTAACACAACTGCAGCTTCTACGATGAACAAGAAAATAGTATACTGCATACCTTGATGGAGACATACGCCATCACCGGCTAGCAGCTTTATATCCTAAGTCGAATAGCTCCGAAGAATATAATGTGCCAGAACAATAATGACCTTCTCCATTGAGGCATGTACTAAGTATAATAAATTACCACATTTAATTCGATTACACTTTGAAATATAGCATATCTGAGAATTTCTTTAGTCTTAGTCAACACTATCAGAACAAAACCGTTGCAATGTCTGCATCCCAGACCGATGCGCTACATCATACAGTCCAACAAAGATATGAAGAAGATGCTACCTCGACATGACTTATTTTCAAATATTCCGATTTATCAAGTAGCATGGGACTTTCAAGCTGTAAAAATAATGGGATGATTAAATGCAATCGACAACGATAAAATAGACCACGTATTCATTATTTACCTAAGATTTTTTAAGTGCTATTCTAGTTTGAAATCGTTGTTTAGTAAGAAGAGAGTGTACATGTACATCACTGGAACTACGGAGGTTTCAGGAGTGAAGAACTTAACATCATGCTTTCTCTTGTTGTACCCACTACTACTTAAAAATTGATTTTATATTTCCTAGAATCAGCTTCATGCTATAAGCAATTTTTGTTGGTACGATGTCAAAACGCTTTATACAGTTAATTTGAGGACTGACACCTATTCAAACTAACCCTTATGTTTCTTCTGACAATATACCAAGAAGGATGTTCGTCTACCTCTATATTTAGAGCCTACTATTAATCTTCCAACTTCCTGTTAATAAGATGAGCCCTCCATTTCTAGATAAATAGCTTTTGCTTATCACAGATTAACGTCGATATGTTGTACCTATTTTCATATTGCAGCTTATCTAACAATACTTATCGATTGCTGTTATACTTTTACATGGTTATAGAGCGTTATGTTGCAAAAATGAGTAATCGTTTGGTGAACTAAACGTGTAATTGGTAGAGCCAAACGTGAAACTCCTACTTATAAAAAACAACTGCAATTAAGAAATTGTCCATTTAAAATGACACCATTGTTTCGAACTATTTTGTCCAGAAAATGCCTGGAGAAAAATGAAATGTCATAATAAAAATATAAAAAAACCTTTTTATGAAAATCAAATGTAGCACCACGCTTTAGTGAATCAAAGAATCAAAGAAAACAGAGAATAGCACCTCAAAGATAGTATGGGACTGCCACAACTTCTCAAAGACATGGGGATAGACGGTAATGGGGAACCTGATGAATGTGGCCAGAATGGAGCTATCTCTTCTTCATAAGGCTTAAACCAGTATACGTCATATTATAGTTTAGTACGAAAGCTGGGTGTCAAATGATCAGCAGAACAACTGTGACAGAGTAGTGAACAAATACTGTTAGAGAGAATATTTAGGGAGCCTTCATACTCGTGCGCAGCAGAAGATCTAAGAGTGGCTGGATTTTTGATTGGCCACTAATTATTTAGGACAGACCTGCAGAAAAAATTCGACTGTCCTGCTTCCTGGTCTGACTAATGGAAAGAGCATCCACTTGACAAACAGGATGACAAATTAAGAAGAAAGGCAGGGCGACAATCCAGAGAAATTGAATGAAATTCTACCTAATTGGTAACTGTAATAGACTCCATGTTCTGATGGGCAAAGAAAACAACAGATCTCAATGTCCTTTTGAATTGCACTTTGAAAAATACCACCAAGGTAGACGAAATGTTAGTAAACTTTTATTTCTACATCTGTTCTCAAATTTCATTTGGCCAGCAGAACATGGAGATCAAACAGCGATATAGCCCCAAGATAAGTTTCAGATCCTACACTGATATTCGGTAACTAGGCAACTAAACTCTAACATTCATATAACTATAAAATATCAAATATTATAGATGCTAAAGCCGAAATTCAACATCAATCACTTGTAGTACGACTTTCCACAGACAATGGGGGTTACAACCATACTTAATTACCTTGTTAGTTTTATAACCTGTCTCAGTGTGAGGACCATTAATAAAGGAATGTTATATATAAACCTAGATGTAATGTTGGACCAGCGAAAGATTGCAAGCCGAAAGAATGCGGACAAAAAATTGCGAAGTTGTCAGATGTTCTACATAAAATGCGGTCCATACATATTAACATATTTAAGATATAGAATTGTTCCGCTGAATTTGGCAATGTAGCTGGAAAACCCAGGCCGCAGGTAAACATCCGGTCGCTGATTGGTCCAAAACTCTTATCTTATCTGAAACTAGAATAACGTGCCGATGGCACGGTCATTTATAAACCTACTCCCATAGGCGTAGGCAGTTGGCAAATACTTTGAAAATATAATTTACTGTTTAGTGGTGATAATGGAATTCAAGCATGGGAAAGTTATTCACAGCCAGGCAAGGGAAATAATAGCAAACGTGATACGTGCTT